TGCTTGCTCATCCAGCTTGGTCTACACTCCTGCCTATGAATTTTTCCCCCTTTCTTGGGATGCAGGCTTCTGATAGTTTCTGCAACTTTGACTTGAAGTAATTCCAGCCCTCCTCCGCCTTTAGATCCACAAGTTCTTAAGTCCAATCCACTTCCCTAACTAATTTCCTTAATTTTTTTAAGTTAGCCCTTTTGAAATAAAAAACCCTAGTCACAGATCTATTTTTGTTTATCCTTCGATTTAGTTTGAACTGAATTAGCTCGTGATCGCTCAAACCAAGGTTGTCCCCTACAACCATTTCTTCTATGAGGTCCTTACTACTCACCAAAACCAAATCTAAAATGGCATCCCCTCTTGTTGGTTCAGCAACTACTTGGTGAAGGAATCCATCAGCTATCACATCCAGGAAAATCTGAGCCCTATTATTATTACTAGCATTTGTCCTCCAGTCTATATTTGGAAAGTTAAAGTCTCCCATGATCACACAATTCCCATTAGTATTTACTTCATTAAAAACATTAAAGAGGTCTCTATCCATATCCTAATCGGATCCCGGTGATCTATAGCACACCGCAAGTAATCCCAAGGGAGGCTCTAGTAGCTTTCTTCCCCAATGTGATTTTTGCCCAGACAGATTCTGTCTTATCCATTCCATCACTTCTTATTTCTTTACAGTCTACCTCGTAATTGATATACAATGCTACTCTACCACCTTTGCCTTTATTTCTGTCTTTCCTAAACAGCACATACCTTTCAATACCTGTATTCCAGTCATGACTACTATTCCACCATGTTTCTGTTATCCCTATAATATCTGGTTTCACTTCCAGCACCAGTAACTCTAGTTCCTCCATTTTGTTACCTAGGCTCCTCGCATTAGTGTACAAACATCTTAATTTTTGCTGTTTGGCTTTGCTCACATTCTTTACCCGATTAGGCCCAGACATTCTACCGCCAGTATCACCTATTAGACTGGTATCTACACTACTCTTCCTCCTTATGTCCATTCTCTTACCCACGGCTGTATCCTTTCCTCCTTCGTTTTCTTCCCTCTCAATGTTAAAATCCGGCGTGGAGATTACCTGGACATCTCCCAACTGTCTCCCCCAAATTCCTAGTTTAAAGCTCTCTTAATCAGTTGTGCCAGCCTCCATCCTAGAAGTCTATTTCCCTCCCTACTCAGGTGAAGTCCATCCCAAGAGAACAGTCCTCTGTCCATGAATGCCTCCCAATGGCCATACATCCCAAAGCCTTCCTTATAGCACCACTGCCTGAGCCATCTGTTGATCGTCATAATCTTGTCACACCTTTGTTGCCCTTCTCTAGGAACAGGCCGAATCCCACTGAAGATCACCTGAGCCTTGATTTCCTTAAGCGTCTTCCCCAGCCTGGCATAGTCTCCCTTGATACGTTCCACCGAGAATCTAGCCGTATCATTTGTTCCCACATGAAGGACAATCAGTGGATTCTTTCCTGCTCCCATTAGGATCCTCTTCAGCCTCAGGTTCACATCCCATATCTTAGCACCCGGCAGACAGTACACCCTTCTGTTCTCTGGATCAGCTTTGGTTACAGGCCTGTCTATTCTTCTCAGTAAGGAGTCCCCAATCACGTAGACCTGCCTTTTCCTGGTGATGGTGCGATTCTTGGGTCTATCCCCTGTTCCCTCTGGCTGCAAGTCCTCTCAATTCCTGTTCTCCCTTGCAATCCTCTGCAACCCATCCCGTATCCTCCTGGGGCTCATATTTGATGTTGTTATCTCCATTGACTCTTCCCCTCTTCCTATAGGACTAGTTGTGGGGAACATATGCAGTGGTTAACTATTGTATGCAGGCTTAGGGATCATTGTTAAACAAGGGTCAAATACAGGGGCTATTCTGTTTTGTAGCAAAGTGAAGAATATGTGAATCTTGAAAGAAACACAGATATACACACCTATAGTCTAATCTAGCTGTGGCCCAACACAGATCATTTCTGCAATGTACAGAAATCCACTTACGTGAAGTGTATTGTTTCTTTCCCAGACAAATTGGATAACTTTAATACAGTTAGAGTTCAATACTTTATTCAGTTCAGCTGGTCATACACAGGATACAATATCAGGATTTCAGTCTATATATCAAGGTTAAATCAAGACACAGAAAAGTAAAAAAGGAAAAATATTGGTTAATATGAAGGATATAGAAAGGAAAGAAAAGCCTAATTAAGTAATCATAAAGACTGAAATACGCAAGCTTATTTAATTGCTTCTCTTGCAGCATTCCTTTAAATATGTAAGCTGTGCTTATAGGCTCAGCTAGTCTTATTTTCTTACCAAATATACACATAGAATAAGTCACTCCATTTTCAAAACACTTAATTGATCTTCAAGGAATTTTCTTGAGCTTATTAAGAATGGGGGTCAGATTCCCAGCTAAAATAAACTGGTGTAGTTTATTGAAGTAATTGAGACCAGCCCCTGACCAGCCTCACACACTGAAGGGCAGAAAGATAATGCAACCATAAGAGCTGTGAGCCAGAATTTTCAAAAGTGACTAATGATTTGGGGTTCCTCAAATGTAAGGTGTCCAATCTGAGATAATTTAAAATGACTGATTGTCACTGGACTGGTGTTGAACACTTTCTAAATATCAGGCCCCTTTCAAGCTCCCTTCTTTTTAGCTACCACATACTCATATAAAGATGAACTGCAGAAAAATCATGTAATTTAGGCAGTTGGAAAAATATGTCCTTCGAAGCATCTCAGCATATGAGGAAAATAATAAGTTTATCCTACATCATAGCAGAAATAGATTTCCACATTTTTAGATGCCGTTGCAGACTGAACAGAGATTTCTTCTCAATATTTATATGAAAATAATTTAGAACATCTTTAATCATAATCTGTGCCCCAAATCAAGGGTATTATCGTGATGGATGCCACTTAACTCTCACAAACTTTAGATTGAACCAATTACAATTGTATATAATTATTTTTAGACAGCAAAAAGGATAGCTATACTTTTGAGAAAGTAATGAGAGAAAGTATTGTATTCCTAGCCATCATATTGGTGAGTCCAAGCGGCATAAAAGAAAACATAGATGTATGAAAACTCAAAAGGTTTAGCAATTTGTTTAATTAAGAAGATGAAATGAGTTTGTCAGGGCCAACATACCATAACAGAAGGCAAGAGAATACAAATAAATGTAACTGCAAAATAATAAAATACTTGAAAGAGCAAAAATAATCTGTTTCTAAATATCTAATTACCATTACTTACTACCAAATGATATTGCATGAAGTATTGTTGTAGCTGTGTCAGACCCAGGATATTAGAGAGACAAGGTGAGTGAGGTAATATCTTTTATTGGATGTACTTCTAAAAAGAACACTGTGTAGCTTGAAAGCTTGTCTCTCCCACAAACAGAAGTTGGTCCAGTAAAAAATATTACCTCACCCACCTTGTCTCTCTAATACTATTCATGTTGTAGGTTATATGAAGACCTACTGTATATGAGAGCACAAGGCTGGATAGGAGGTGTATAGGATAAGGTATAGGATAGGAGGTGTATAGCACAAGGCTGGATAGGAGGCCTGAACCTATACACAGGGACCAAGCATATTAATATACCTTACAGAATAGTGACTTCCCCAGGTGAGCAGAGAGGGGGTAGAATGATGGCTTGCCATGTTCCCCTCCACATTGACCAGGAGAGCTGGTTCCCCACAGGAAGGTGAATGAAAGCTGTGCTGCATCAAAGGATGATGTACTATCCATGGCTTCCCTGCATTCCAAGAGCCTATATTTGTATGATGCACATATACCCTGACACTGCTTTGAGTTGTTCCTTAGGCACGATTTGGCCCTTTCCTTTGGTAGCTAACTACAAATTGTAGATTAAGTCAGATTTGTGATATTTATTTAAGATTTATCTTTTGTATTATTCCACTAGGACAGAGGTGTCTGTGCACTATAAATAATAATAATGTGGAAACGCTCCCCTAATAAGTGGCAATTCTGAAATAAAAGGTTTAATAATTTGAATGATACCATGAATTTTGGATTTGTGACCTGCTGGAGTTTTTTGTTCCATCAACATTTCAGTGATTTTTGTTTGGTTGGTTTTGGTTTTGTTTTGTTTTTAATTAATCTTATTTTGGCTTATGATGAGAAAGAGAGAAACTGAGTTGAAAAATAAATATACTTCTAATTAAAAGTAAATTTCCTTTTGACATTGAATGCTTATACATTAATTGCCAAACTTAGATTTCAAAGTATAGTGTATGTGCTGGCAAACTTTTTGGATAAGGATTCAGTTCATTTTCATTTCCTGTTTCCAGAGAAACACTTAGGTCCATATACAGCCCTTGATCTACATTCAAAATGTCTGTTGACATAAGTCAGTAGGAATTATGTGCAAAAACTGAGGGCTGTGTACTGCCTTTATTATCTTCTGTTTTATTTTTCATCATACCCCAGCTTGAAGACAAAACTACAGTAGCATTGTCATTAAATCTGGTGACCTGTGGGAGCTATAGGAATTGGTTATCTAAAGAAAGGTTTAAAGTAGTTACTGGGGGGAAAATGAGACATTTAATATTCCTACTTGAACCACTTGACTGAATGCTGTATATGCTTCATAAAACATATAGCACAAGTATGTTTTGGGTTTTTCTTTATATGACACCGTATTCATGAGAACTATAGGCTAACTGTGTTTGACACCTGCCTTGCTGTCTTTTGTATGGACTGTTTTAATGAGACTGGAAGTGCATACATACCCATGGGTTCCCTCCAGTAACTCTCTAATAAGGGTGCAAAAATGTACATGCTAATACGCAGTGAATAATCTTCTGAGTGTAGCACACTTTACTTGTTTGGTTGACAAATTCATGAATTCAAATGAATTTGATGGATTTTACTCCTTTAATGCATGATTTCTTTTACTTTTATTATTATTTTCTGCATTCTTTCTCTCCTTTTGTTTTTGGTTTACACATTGCTTTCATTTGTTTATAGAAGAAAAGAAAGCAAATCCAGAGAATGGGAATGCAGGTAGGGCAGTTTATTAAAAATCTCTTAGTGTGTTTGCCTTAGACGATGTACAACTACAATATTTAGGCAGAATGTGCATTATACAGCTGGTATACAGTATTGTATTTCCTTTGATGCAAAATTAGGAGTAGAAAACATAACCTAGGAAATACATTTTGGGCTTTCCCTAGAGAATGAAACCTCTATTTGAGCTTAATAGGCAATCACATTCACACTGTCTCACTCCAAATATAGTTGAATGAGCTTTTATCTCCTTGCATGCAAAAATCTGACGCTATAACAGTTGGGCTTGGAATAAATTAGGTATTAATCACATCACTAGTTAGAGCCTCTTTTTTAAAACTGTTAACATAAGGCCAACATTTAATGTCCCCAAGTCATGATAAAAATAAATCAGGAACCCAATATTGAAATAGTTAAATCTTTAATTCAAGATAAAAACAGAAATGTGGATTGTAAACTGTGCTGGAGCAGTGCATCGGTGCCCACTCTGAGCCAGTTCACCCCTCCCACCCCACCCCCAGCATGTTCTCAGGGCTGCTCTAAATTGTGGCCATGTTCAAGCACCTCCAAGCAGCCATTCTGCAGCCTGGCATGCTGAATTTTAGCAGCACTACAGCCATGCCCGCTTCCCCTGGACACACATTCTCTGCCAGGGTTCGGAAGGAGGTACACAGTGCCAGCTATTTTGGCTCTTCACCAACCATTTTGGAGCTGTTACTTATAGAATATTATCTATTAGTAAAATTCTGAGACGAAGTTCAAAGCATAAGCAAATTATTGGAGCTATCAATTCCACCTGTTTGGGACCTAAGCCTATATAATAGCTTACATGGAGACAACATTGAGCCAACTTTGGCTTTTTTTTTTTTTTTTTTTTTGACATGAGGGCAATTCAGCCATCCTGCATTCCCTTCCTGTTCCCAACCAGGATATGTATCAAAATGGCTGTCAATTCTCACCATCTTCCCTCCAGCTGTGATTTGGAAATAGGGGGCAGTGTAAATAGGAGTTGTAGAGTTTTCATTGATTTACTAGTAGGGTTGAAGATTTCTTGGAAGAAGGAATTCAAATATTCAATAAAAATGCTAAAACTTAAGGGAGGATCTATAAACAATGTAGGTCTGCAAAGTTCTCTCTGCAATAAACAGAAAGTATCCCAGCATAATTAAATCAACTGTGAGTCTATAAATTGGGCTAAATATGAATATAAAATAAAACAAAAATCTTTTACATATGTTTATATTGATAATCTTATTTGGGTAATTTAGGAATGACACTCACCCCAGAGATTCTGTAGAAGGTGCTATATATGGACACGTCTACACTAGAAACACTATAGCAATGGAGTTGCAGCTGCATTACTGCAGTATAGATATGTACCGCAGCAACAGAAGAGGTTCTTCCATCACTGTAGTAAAGGGCTTAAATAGTGTACTGGGCCTTGAGAAAGGCCTCTGCACATGGCTGATATTTGCTGTAGGTTCAAGACCTGTATCACAGTAGAGAGGGGTAGAACTGGAGCTGTGCAAAGTATCAGCTTTCACTTTGCCATGTGTTCATATATAAAAACAGACATTCTGTTTTGTGAGATATTTCTCAATATTTGTGAGATTTTCTATATACAAGAGGTAATATTTCTCCATTTCTTACAATTTCCTCAGCTTTTCATGGCAAGAATGACAGAATGTGGACTCTTCCAAGTTTAACAAAAATGATGATTTCATAATAGGGCAAAACCAAAATGCTAATATTTTACCCTTAATCCCTTTTTCTTTTCATTAAAAACACCAAAAAAGTATGGATTAATCTGCAAAATATTCTGTTTTCATGGAAATCTATTTTTTTAAACTAGGGGTTGGAGTATTTTCATTCATCTTTAGTGACATTGGTGTGTTATTTCTGTCATTGAAAAGAAGAAAAATATTCCAAGTGAGGATGCATTTAGCTGTGCTTTTTAGAAGCTATCAAGAAATTCAACTGTCTTTCAATCTATTAATCAAAGCGCTTGCATCTCCCTTTTCAAAGTAGGAAATAAAATAATTATTGAAAAATAAAGTTAATCACTATCAAAATCACTTTAATTAAATAGAAAATTACCAAAGAGTCAGTGTGGTCCCTTGATGCTTGCCAATTATTGGTTCAGGTTTATATAGTAGCTGATTTAAACGTTGTGGGATACATTAGATTTATCTTCTTTTAGGGTTTTTCACTGTATGCTTTATTATTAGCTGCCTCTATCCCTGCATTTTCTTCTTGTTCATTCATTTCCCCCATTGATTTTCATTCCAAGAATTAGTATTTGGGATGGGCTATTTTTGTTTAGGTCATTTTAGATTTTTTTAAGGAAAAGCAGAGACCATAAGGACATGCTGCTGATAGGACATTAAATTTATTTTTTATTTTCCACACCTTTCCTCACCCACAATTTCCTGTTAAGAGTTGCAGGTTTTGTAGTCAACAGGCCTCTCTTGTACCAAGTAGTGGCATCAGTAGAACTATCGCTAGAGGATATTCAAAGTATAGTTCAGAGGGCCTGCACATGGACCTGTTTTGCCACTTTTAGATTTCTCCTTAAGACCCATGTTTAGGGTTTGTGTGTGACTTCAGTGGGACGGGGGAAATAAAGTTAGGTTCCCCCCAATCCTATATTTAGGTGCCTAAATAAATGGGCAGATTTTCAACAATGCTGAATACACAGCAGCTTCCATTCAGAAATGAAATTTTCCTTTGCAAATCTTCATCTTCCTCGGAAAAATGTATAGTATGTGAAGTTTGTCAGTCAAAACTAATGTGACTTAGTCACAATAATGTATGAAAAGTAATGCTATTAGTTACATTGCTTCAGCTAGAAACTTTGGGCCTGATTCTCCACTCCCTTCTTTTTGTTTACATTGGTGTAACTCCATTGACTGCAATGGAGTTTTACTCCTGATTTACATCAGAATAAATGGGAGGAGAATCAGACCATTTATGTACACAGTACATATCTATATTTTGCTTGATTGGAGAGATGCCCTTTTTGCTTGGACATTTGCCTACCATTTTGTTTGAGGGTTGCTACCTTCCACCTCCAGTGTTCTCTCTCACGCATTTGTTTTGGTACTTTCTTTTGGCACTATTAGTACTTTCAGGCACTGCAGTTTGGCTGAAAAGGGCTGCTGCCTGAGCGACATAGCAAGCATCCTTTTCCCAGACTGAGGCTAACTATGTGCTTAGTCTCCTGTAGTCCTGTAGAATGAAATCCTGAAATCACTCTTGAAGCTGAATGTCATTATAGAGTGATACAGCAACACCACTGGGCAGCTTGTTAGCATTTCTTTCCAAAATTATTTTTAAAAAATTGTTACAAACATATTAAATTATGGTAAATCAAAGCAATGCCAATCAATCAGATTATTTCCAGTGATCCTTATTTACTGATAGAAACTAAAATCAGTCATTTCATATAAAAGATCTAAAATCACCATAATAGAACATATCACAAGATCAATATCTCCTTTGGAAATAAACATGTTGCCTTTGCATTACTGTTTATTTTCTTTAAATAAAAGTCTTGATTTCTCCTATAGCCGCAATAAATTCTTCAGTGAGACATTCTATTCCATTTACATTCTCTCCTAATTTGAAAGTTTTCTTAATATTAACTGTGGAGAATAAAATATTTGCCAAGGTACTGTGAAAATACTTTATTCTTTACTACTATTTCTTGCAATTATAGCTTTTCTCCCAGGTTTTCCACAAAAGGATAATTTTGAAATGTTTTTTATTTACCTGGAAATACAGATACAGTAATTTAAGCAAAAGTCAGATTGTATCCCTTCTGTTAGAAATTGTATGAGCACCACTTTAAACTCAGGATCGAAAATTAATTGATTGTTTATTTATTTATTTTTATTTGACAGGTGGTATGGATGTAGAAGAAAGAAATCGTCAAATGAAAATAAGCAAGTACAAACAGGCAGCAGGCTCAGACTCCAGGCTGGAGCAAGATTATCATTCTAAGGCAAGGGAGTTTTGTTTTGAAAAGCAGCAAAATATGCTAATCTAAAACATTTGATATCCTTTTAGGGTGATGTAGACAAATGAACCTTGCATAGGTTGGGCTTTTTTGTTTCACTAAGGGGTTCTTGCATGTCTGGTGCAAAGTAATTGAAATAAGTGCAGCAACCATTCAAACCTCTCTAATATAGAACATTCTTGATTACTAAAATTTAAGATATAGAAGTTAATAGATCAAACGTAGTGTTCATCTGCTTCAAAAAGTGAGAAATGATCATTTAGTTGTCCAGTGGAATGAGCAATTAAGATCCAAGTTTAGAAAAGATAAAGAGGAAGCAATAGACTCAGTGCTTGTCTACACTTACCAGGGGATCAATGAGCGGCGATCGATGCATCAGCGGTCGATTTAGCGGGTCTTCTCGCTAAATCGACCGCAGATCACTCTCCTGTCGACTCCTGTACTCCCCCGGATCGAGAAGAGTAGGGGGAGTCGACAGGAGAGTGTCTCCTGTTGACATTGCGTACTGTGGACCCCGTGGTAAGTAGATCCATGCTATTCATGTAACTCAAATTGCGTAGCTCAGATTGAATTTCCCCTGTAGTGTAGACAAGGCATCAGGAAGTACCTAGAGTCCTAATTCAGAATGAGATCCACTAAAAAGTGTGCCAGGATTCCATGCTTTGGAGCGAATAGTCATATAACCATCCAAACTGTTTTTTTTTTTAATTGTTTTCTTGGCCTTCTAAAGACTTCTACAGCACAGACATAATAGTTTTTATTTATTCTGGTAGTGAAAGTTTAGCCATTGGATAGATAACCTTCCCAGTCAAATCAGTACACAAGATTCCAACTTAATTATGGCAATTTGCAAGTAATCAGGTTGGCCATGTAGCAATGCAGTTCTAAATTTATGATCCAAATTTCCTATTATCTGGAACTGGGTCATGTCATCTATTATATGTTAATTGAATTGAAAATATCTTGATTATTTTAAAATTCCATTATATAAGTCCACAAAATAATTAAGTGACCTCTCTGAGACCTGAAAAATCGATTTGAGACTGTAAATGATAAACATAAGACTTCTTAGCCATAAAATCTTGCTGAGGAGAAGAACTCTGTTGCAGACGTTGTATGTTAATTGTGTAGTTCATTGCTCAATGGGGAAGATAAGGTAAAACTACATTATTTAATATATGAAAATAAAGAAGCCATTAATTGTATTAAGTGCTATTAGTTTTGTAGAGAATTCAGGTTAATTTATTGAATTACTTTCTAATAACGTAATTCCTCATAGTAAAAAATGTACATGATATTGTGGGAGTATTACATGAAGGCCTCATGAGAAGTCCTAGATAAAATGGAAGAGTCTATTACTGAAAAGATTTAGAATTCATTGGAACAAAGGGCACACTATATTGTTATGCTCTGAACATTTAGACCAGTAGATGTATTGTATGACTTAAAGGATGTGTTCACTCATAGTACTTAATATGTAATGTAATAACATTTATAAGGGGGGTTGGGTCAGGAAATGTTTTCATGTTTATTTTATATGGAACCATCACTCTTACATTTATCAGTTATATCCTTTCTTGAAGGGCATTATCTTTTCTTGTACAGGAATGGACTTGGTGCTGTAACCAGATTTCCCCATAAATAACTGCTATGATTCTATGTACCATATAAAGATTGTGAATATATAAATAGATCTTCAGTTATTCAGCCAATTCAGTTGCTCCCTCCCTGTTTGATTCTGTCCCCTTTAGTCACACTGAGTAGTTCCTGGCTCCATAAGACAGCATTGGGACTACATGTGCAGAAAGGTGCATCATTAGGCCCTCAAAAGTGTTTTTCAAAGGAAACCATACAGTAGTTCCAAAGAAACACTTCCTCCCCTTGACCCCGCTATCTGTCTGTGCCTTATCATTTCTGCTGTCTCCCCCTGTATATGAGTTTTATCTTCACCATTATCCTCCTGCATTGAGGATGGGAATTCTGATATAGGATTGATTTTTGAAAATAATCACTTCTTAATTATGCAAACTGTCTCTAGAAGTATATTGTCAGATTTATCTCCCTGCCAGGCTCCACTTTTTACCATTGGAAAGGGAATGATTTGCCTTACCAGTTAGCCCAGGAAGATAGGCAGTAGCACATTCACAGACTTCACTGAGTGTGCATCAATAGAATCCCTAAGATCTCATAAAGTCATACCAAAAGAGTTCAGTCTTCACTTTCTCACCATTTCCCTGTTGGTTCAGTTTTTCTTAATTAAATATTAATATGACATAGAGAGAGGAAAATTAATAAATACATATAATATACCTGGGTTTTACCAAGTATCTTTTATATTAATGAACTGATCTGGGTATGTCAGATACTAACTGAAAACTCCTGGTCTATAGCTATTGCAAGTGGCTTTGATTTTCTAAATTTGTCAGCTAGCATAAGGTCAAGTGTGCCATTTTCTGGGAAGACAATTTGTTTACTGCAGCCCCTCACCTGAGAACAAGTTTCTTTAACTAAGCTGGAGACGGCATGCAAGTGGAGTTTAGCAGGTGGAATATTCTATTGTATCTCCATTCTATTTTTTTCTTTTGGTGGAAATAAACATAATTACTATTTGCTGGGGGGAAAATAACCCTCCAATTATCATTGCTAAGGAAGTGGAAAGGTGTACCGACAACAACAGGACTAGCCATATTGGATTAGACCAATGGTCTATCTAGTATTGTTCCATCTCTGGCAGCTGCCAGTACCAGATGCTTCAGAGGAAGCTACAACCCCTCCCCCCCAAATAGATAATTATGCAATATTAAGTCTGTGGAAGAAGATTTTTCCTAACCCCGGGTTCTTAGCTGTTGGCTTAAATATGAAGTTGACTTTTTGACTTTTCTTTATAAAATTTTCTTTTAGCTGGTGTTAGTGCAGACTCTATCATCTATCTATCTATCTATCTATCTATCTATCTATCTATCTATCTATCTATCTATCTATCTATCTATCT